GGAGCATCGGATTCCGCTCGAAGCTCCCGCGGAGGTTCATTTTCCCCCCGCACTTTTTCCGCTTTTCATCACGCTCCGCTTCGTTGCTGCGTGCATGTATACACACCCACGTGTGCTACGCGCTGTACAAGAAGGCGCGTTTCTTCCCTTAAACGAACGGAAGTTGTATTTACTTGGGTGCGCTGTTTGCCGAGCACTCCTTGTTTTCGTCCAACTTTGCAATTAGACGCGCGATAGGTGGGATACACACTCTAAAAAACGAAGGACGAGCTCGCTGCAGGAGCTAAGGAACTTTCCTTTTATTGTATTTTCTTCTTTCATATGTACCTATACTATACGTGGCCAATTGTCGCGAGATGAGTTTGTTCTTTTTCTGTGTATAAGGGCGCCGAGTGATTTTTGTCCTCCTCCGTCTCTGGAGAACAATACATCGGATTTTTAATTACTATTGTTTTCCCACTTTATTTACTTTATCCCCTTTCTTCTTCTTTTTTTTCCAAGTTTCATAAAAGTGTCCCATTCAAGTTAACCATCGGAAATTTTTCATCGTTGCTTTAAATTGTAAGAGGGATATAAAAATGTGGACTGAATAATGGGAAGTAATCGGATTTACAGCCCGACGAATCATTTCAATGGGACTCGGCACTTTATACTAGGACTTATTTCAAGTCTTTCGTGAAAAATGGCTCGGTAAGTTGAGCGAGTGTCTCACTACATTAGAATAATTTTTTTTTTTTTATCTTTTTCATCGTTCATTGTTTAGGTATAAAATTTTCCTTCTTCCGTTACATTTTTATCTGGAAATTTTCGACATCACAGAAAAAAACTGTAACTGTATTAACTAACACAGAGAATAGACGATATCTGCATGGTAATACGTTTATTTTTGTCAAAAAATGTGTCACATTAATTTTTCTAGAAAAAAAGAAAATTATTAAACAGTATTTCAACTAAAAACTCTCATGAAAGGTTTAAAATTAAATAATGAATTAGGCCAAAACCAACGAAATCTTATACATTTCACATGAAACATTAGTCTCCAACAACAACTCGTGAATTTCATGCAGAAGGATGCATTTAAAGCAAAACCGCACGCACCAAGCTGAAAGAGAAAAATCCCCGAATCTCAGGACAAGCAGAGCAGAGCCGAAAGGCAACGAAAACACTGCATGCGCTGCAGAGGAGGAGAAGAAAGTTGATTAATTCCCTAGTGGTATACTGTTTAAGCACTGCTGCGCCGCTGCCGACAAATGAAGCTACAGAGAGATCCGAGCCACGTCTCCTCTGCATTTGCATTTCGCGGCAACGAGAGAGGTAAGTGTACACGTGCTCTCTCTCTCTCTCTCTCTCTCTGGACGAGTCGTTTGCTGCTTTGGAAGATTAATAAGTTTATCTGGCGCGTCACCTCCGCGCTCTGCTGCGATAGTAAATTGGTACAACGCATTATATTTTGCTTTTCTCTCCTCCCCCCTCTGTCTCCTTCTCCTTCTACGTTGCGTTGTCTTGCTTTATGAGAACTGTTTTTTGGTACGATCCCCGTTTCTGCTCAAAATCCCTCTGTAACTTGTATCCGACAGTTAGTGCTGAGGTGTATTAGGAAATTTTATTGGAAAAAAAAATTCCAAATTCTTGTACATACTTTTTTAATTTTTTGTACTCTAAATTTAGACAACTGTCATTTTTATGACGAAAATATCTCATGAGTATTATGCTCAGTATAAAAATTCATTAGGTGGAAAAATAGTTTTTTTTTTTTTTTTTTTTTTTTTTCAATTAAAGTTTCGAAGATTTTATTTATCTAGATTGTAAAGGCACAAAGGAATTTCATACTCAAATTAACGTTTGTTAAAAAAAAAAAAAAAAAAAAAAAAAAAAAAAAAAGGAAAGTCTTTCTTCAATTTATGTTAAAGAAGAAAAAGGTGTTATTACTCAAACTGATGTTTGAAAGACAAAGATAAATTTCTCTCTCGTTGAAATTGTAAGGAAAAAAAGTTATTTCTCTGATGGACGTTTTAAAATGTAAGAGTATATTTTTATTTTAAGCTTTAAAAAACAAAGAGAATTATCTCTGATTGACACGTTTGTGACGGTTTTCCTCCAGTTTCAGCAAATTGGAAATTCCAATTCTGGCATTTGGATAAAATTATTAATACCAGAATAAGAAGACGGACAGTGCCTAACAAACAAAAAAAAAGACAATTTTTGTGCCCTACACATAAGTACCTAAAAGCCTCGATCAGAAAAAACAGAAATAACGAAGAAGCAAGTATTTTCATAACGTCACACGAGCAGGTACTAATGTCTTTTGCAACATATCGCTCAAGGCCATCTACTTACCGGTGCAAAAAAGTTTCGCTCGTCATGCATCATAATGTAGTGGCAAAAAGTTACACCGACACAAAAAGTTGCCGAGCCTGTTACGCGCGGGGTTAACCTGTCCTTGGATGAAACTATCATCCGCACTATTAATTAAACCCAATGCCTCGCAGACGATGACTCTGTTCAAGTATCAAGTGGGGGGTCATCAAAGGAAGAGTAAAATAAAACGAGATGGAGCTCGCGGATGGTTTTCCCTTGGCAGGCGAGTCGGCTCGGAAACTTTTCGTCACGGAACTCCCGCTCTTCCGATTCTCTCTCCGACGGAACTTGCGACGGACCGACAGAGAAAAAGCGCCGGGCATAGCTTAACACCCTCCTCCCTCGCCATCAAAGCTCGCACCTACAAGAAGGGGGGGGGGGCCCAGCCGCAGATGGGCCTTATATTTCAGCGGTGCCCACCACGGCGACGCTCGCCGGCGACGATTTGGCCCTGAATAATTCATGTCCCAGCTCCTCGAGGCTCCTCCGCCTCGTGAATACGAATACGGCGCGTGTACGTGGATGCCCACACACACCCCCATCGCCAGCCTCTGTGTGTATATGCTTTCGAATGTATATCAAACACGCAAAAACGCCCGTCCGAGTGTATATAGGGCCGAGACGTGCACCGAACGTCTATACCCGCTCTCGGTGTACATACGTGTCGCAAGCAACCCGAGGAATCGACTTGTAACACGTTTTTGTACGTCTCGAGCTCTGGCGAGTTGACGCGCAATTTTTTTTTTTTTTAGTTGCGCGACTATAGGTACTAGGTACTCCCGATGAACGGGTCCGGCAAAAGTTGTGCCCCGGAGCAACTTTTCCTCTGCCTCTCTCGTTATGAGCAATCGAACTTTTAACCATCGCTTGTTCCTATGACTTTTTTTTACTAATTGCACTCGTGCCCCCGTTTTTTCGTTGCTTTTCTGGCAAAATCATTCGATATAATCTTGCGAAACGGGACGACATTAGCTGATGGCTTTAACGAGCAGCAACTACTCGAGTTTTAGTTCCGTGCACAGGAAAATTAATTCCGCCTATCCGAAAAAGGAAGACGAAGATTGGAACTCGAGTTCTAAATTAGTTTCCGGATGGATCTAATAATGAGAGAGAGAGAACTTTATCGCCCGGGACTCGGAACGACAAAACAGACGAGCAATCCGTTTCGCGTCCTGTTTGTGTCTATATACACGCCGCAAAACACGTTTTGGCGGGGGAGAATAATTTATTAATTGCATCCAAGAGACTCGGGATAAGTAGTTCACTAAACATCGTTAAAACCTCATTTGCAGCAATGGTATATTTAATAATATTTATATTGCACACTATAGCGATTCTTTGTTTTTAGGGTGCGTTATAAATTTATGCACTGATGGTTCGGCTGCTAATTAAAATAAAGGAGGTGATTATCGGTCAAAAGTCGCGTCAGAGGAATTTTTGGGGTGAGGTGTACAAGTATACATAAAGACGTAAAATGATACGAGGGGGAAGTAAAGTGCAATCAAAAGATGAAATGGACAAAGTTTTAAAAGAGGTTTTTGATTTTTCAAATATTTTTTTGGTAATATTTGTGATCGAAACAAGTCATCATTTTTTGGGCACCACTAAAATAGAATTTTTCCATATTGTTGTGGGGAGCGTTACGGGTTTTAATAAAATCGTTGTGAAATCGACACTGTGGCACTTTATCTCGCTTTATCCTGTATGTAGTAAAAGCTATGATTTAACTTTTTACCTTCCGAATCATAACTAAACATTACGCGAAGATAGGTACGCCGCATTTAAAACATTACGGGCTTCGAGTTTTTATTTTGGGGAGACTGGCAAAAATAAAATAAATAACTTTTTATGATACATGATTTTTGTTGTACCTTCAGCAGAAAACTACTCTTTGATTTATTTAGAAAGGTTTTTCAAACCAAATATCCATGAATAAATTTTCAATTGACTGGGACATGAAAAAATTTATTTTTGGTGAAATGACCCATAAGTACAATATACCTACATAACAGGGAAGAATCCATAGCACATAATAATATGAAGTGGACGCCGGCGCACTAGCTCCAGTTCGATCTGACGCGTCTCAACGTCAGAATCATTTCGGAGTCTCAAATGAGTGTATAGAATGTACTTACAGTGGCAGAGGTTAGAGTTATTTGTAAAGATAATATTATTCTCAATCAAATCTAGATTTTCGTCAATTTTCAGTTAATTTTAAAACTTACTGTAAACAACTTTAACTGTAGTTATTTATAGATAGACGACGTAAGTAGGTACAATGAAATAAGAATGATACAGTCTCAATAACATCAATTATGTTTTATAAATGATGTAAAACGACACGGGGTAAAACGTCAACTTGAATGATAAAAAAATAATTGAGAAGTCTGTTAATATTTTCCATTAAACACCGAAGAAGGAGCAAGTTTATTTGATTGCTCATTCAACAATTCAATCCTTTTGCTCCACTCTTAATGCATAAAATTACGTATTTAAATATCTTATCTTAATACTTTGGTCTGTTAACACATCTACAAGTACAATATTTACATGTGCTGAGGTGCACCAAGGAGCGCGTGTACGATGGCACGATAGAAGGTAAGTGAGTAGGTATATATACGGCAGTTACGAGCGTGACTTACGGGTGGTCCGGCTGGGATTTGCGTGCCATCTGTTCAGCTTTGGCGATCTCTTCGGCGCGGGTGACGCTCTTGGTCCTCCTGAGCCGAAGGCCCTCGTGGTCCCCGGTGCCCGTCATACCTCTGTCACCTCCAGGAACACTCAGGCGCACACCACTTGGCACACGGAAAACAACAGTCACCCGACACTGACAACACAGACACACCGCCTGACACCGCTATAAACAAATGCACTTACTGGTTATACGAGTAGGTGTATAAGCCTGCCTTTTCTGCTCCGGATCCGCTTCAAATCTTACTCGGTATCTTTCTATAATATATAATACACCAAACACCGAACAGTGGCAGACAAGCGAGGTTAGGAAGGCATCGGCACTATATATAGGAACTATTGCTGGCTGCTCGCGCGTGTTATATACATTTTCAGGGGCGCAGGGCCGCTCCGTCTGCTCCGAGACTCTTCGCGCGCGTTTTTTTCACCAGCTGTGCCGTAGGTACTCGAATGGATATTACACTGATAGGGCCTACATGACGCAATGAACCGCGGGAGAGCAGAGATGTAAGTATACTTTTGGAAAAACCTGATGAATAAGTAATTCGGACGATTGTTTGCCGAGCGTCGACTGCTTTAACATTGAGAATGAAAATACTTACGATGCGTGTTGCGGTAATAACGATAATGATAAGGTAGGTACAAAAACGTCACGGCTATTTTTTTTTCTTTTTTTTTTTTTTTTTATAATACGCGCAAGTCACTCGCAAGTGATAAAAACGTAATGATTATAGCGTTTTAGTATAAACACTATTGCTTGTTTACTGAATCTTGTTTTTTTTTAAATTTTGACAAAAATTATTCAAGCAATGCTACACAACTCTTTTGTATATTTATATTTTGTTTTAATGTTTTAAAACATATTACGTTGAGCAATGAAAAACTATTTGTCATCGAGAAATATGTATGATTTAACGTTTTTTTACTTTACTTAGTTACGTTATTTATAACAATCACTGAGTCGTGACATGAAAGATACGAATTTCCTGTTGAGTTATCTAAATTCACAATGTTCACTATTTTGTTTGAACACTCGTATGACTCGAGAGGTCGGTGTAGTACATGCTTGTGACGAACGATCGGTATGCGCGTATATACGCGTCGACATGGAAATCGATTACAGACTGTAGGCCAGTTTATTTTTTTTTTTCAGGCCAAGTTCGATACAACGTGGAAGAGAGATAAGGATAACGTTTGGTGTTCGGCAACTCGATTTTCGTGAGTAAGCGCGTCGGGACGGAGATTAAAAAGTTCAAGTGTCGATAGCCGATTTCCGACGCCTGGTTCCGTGATCCGCAGCTAAGTACTGCTCGACTATATCGCGGGAACTCTGTGTACACCTATACTTGGTCGCGTGTCTCCCAAGCGCTTGGAAGTATAATTACGCGCTTACGCAACGACCTCTGGACGTAAGGTTGTCGATATATCATATAGGTACAAATTGCTCCTGTTACTGCCTACAGCTTGTACAAATGTTTGAATTACTCGTGTTAAGTTGGCGAGACGGCTCGTACTGTAATGACTAATGAACGGGTTATTCTCGTCTCCCTCGATGAATTTCGTCGCGTTCGCGTTGCGTTTCTTTTCACTGTTCGTATTCCAATACGAGTGGACGAGTACACGAGTCTCTGGATCACATGACTGAAACAAGTAATGCAGGTCAATTCGTTTTTCCCCACCTGTCTGCATTACTCATCGATATTTTATCCGCAAAAATCCCAATACTCGCAACTGGGTGTCCTCGATTGAAAGCCGACAGATACGCAATCGATGCTCAAAGAGCTCGGGAGAGCTCGAGCGAACTTGACACTCCCGTTTGTGGAGTATTTAGCTATAGGAAGGTAATACATTTGTTGAAATGGAAAAAAAAGGAAATAAATACTGTAACAAAACTAAAGTACCAGAGGGAGTTGTCGTCGGTGTCACGCGCACTATGGGATGCCGAGAAATGGATACGAGTACCCACAAGAGCAACATGATGCAAAACATTTTTACGCAGGGCCTTTTGCTGGTTCGCGTGCTCGGCTCATTTCCGCGAACAATTTCGGCTCTGTTTCCCCTTGACGTGCTCCTGGGTCGTTAGAAAACATTCGAGTCTGTTGTACAATAAACGTGTTTGATTGCTCCTCGACTAAACGGATGTTCCGGCTTGCGAGGCTTGCGCGACGGCGATTTAAAAAAAACACAAGTTGGAAAGACACGGAAGCCGTCGCAGGCGACGCCCCGAGGTTTTATATGCCCTATACGCCCCCACCCCCGTTTCTTTACGAGCCACCGTGAAACGCTCTCGTTTCTCTACTCGCTGATATGAATGACAAAAGAATACATATAGGCTGGCGGGTGGTTATCGCCCGAGCACTGCCAATTCGGTCCTATCGAGATGGTGGGTTTTTTTTTTTTTTTTTACGAGCGACTTGTAAATGTGAATGCGCGGCGAGTGTTTTTAGGGGCAAAAAATGGTTATTAAATACATACCAGACAGGAAATGATGTACTTTGCATATTTGCATCACGCAACTCGTCTTCGACGGAGAAAGTACATACCTATATATGTGTACACCTCCTCGAAAGAGAAGGGGATCGGATACGAGGAGGGAAACTTAATTTAGATCAAGAGCCGTGGAAGGACTTTCTTCGGCCTCTTCTTCCTCCCTCGGCCCCCGTACGTGCATGTATAGCCGTAATAGAGGCGGTACAAAGTTTCTGTACATTAAATTCATGAAAGTAGCCGGTCACGCTTACGGCGAGTCGCCGGGCCACTTCTTTGGGAACTTCCCTCCCTCCTCGGCTTTTCTCGCCGGTCGACGACCATCGCCAAAGTTCGAGGCTCAAGAACGAGGCTGGCTGATGCCGCTGCAAAAACTTTTGCAATATTCGTTCGATCGTCCCCCCGAAGAATACACCCGCCCAATTGGTCTCGAAGATGCGCGGGGGTCACAGGGGCCCTCCCCGTCATCGGCGTCCCTTTTCTTAAACACTCCCCCAACTCTGCTCTACGTGGGGCCTACCATATATATATATACGTACCGTAATTTGTATTCCGGGTGTACACATGCGACTACAAAATGTCACCTTTTGACGCAATCCAACAGCGACATCGATTCGTAAATACATACGATTGGAGAAATACTTCGTTCGATGTTATTTAATATTTTTATCGGACGCCAGTATTTGTACAATTCACGTAGGTATAAATATATTTGTATGGGTAAAATATTGGGAATACGAATATTTGTTTTGATTTTACATTCACAAAATAAATACATATAAATGTACAGAACGCCCGTTGCCATAAAGCAAACAACGACAAAAACGAAAAAATAATCGCACGGCGCAATGGATGTATATATGTACACACATAAAAGCGCGTCGAGTTTCATTGTGGCGCATAAAAATGCGAAAACAAGCAAAGCCGAAACAATAAAAACAGTAAATGCGCATCTGCCCGGGTACGGCCTGCCGATATCTCTTTGCTAACGTCAGCGCTGTACCGGAGGTCACCTACTAGTTTGACCGTAAAATTAATTGAAGCCCTTGAAGGACGACGATCTGAGAGGCTTGTCGCAGGGGCCGGCGATATATTTCGATCGGGAAGCGGAAAACCCGTCCCTTTTTTCGGGGAGCATCGCTAAATAAATTAACACGGCCCGCCTAATCGTGCTTTTTCCCGGGACCCCCATGAAAAGCTCGTGTTGCGTCGGGGGGAGTTTTTTTCACCCCCCCCCCTTAGCGAGGGAGCCATCGGTGTATTTTTTATGCACGCCAGCGCACGTAGCGGAGTAAGACAAAGGGAGGAATGTATAAATATCCGCTGTTTGACGTATTAAAGCCCGGATATGGTATAACCGAGAGCACCCGAGGCTGTTATTTTATGTTATACGCGACGGGCCGCGTGCGCTTGCTATTTTCATTATTATTATTATTATTGCTGTTATTTTTTTTTTCCCCACTCGCACACGGGGTCGGATGTTTTTCTAGTGATGAACACAATACCGCACGAATTCAGCTTCGACTCGCGATATTATGATTTCCACGCTTTTGATGAACAAAAAACAAAGATAAAAGCGCCAATTCATAAATAACGGTGTGGTGCAACAGCAAAAAAAATGACTCGAGAGGTCGGTGTAGTA